AAATTTTGTAAAGAGATTGTTACATTCCCGCGGACGCGCCCACAATTAGCCGAAACTTTAAATCAACGTTTTTAAGACTTGAACCAAATATTAATTATAGTCCGCTAAAAATTCCACTGTAAAAAGACGCCCGTAAACCAACTGATACGTCCGCAATTAACAAAATGCTTTGCGGATATGTTACGGCGGCCATTGTGGACAACGGGACCAAACCCTTAAGGATTGTTTAATGCTTCAATGCTTTCCACGTTCGATGTATATATATACATTCGAATCAGGTTATTGTCTGCTAGAAAACAAAACGAATTATTCTTATTCCCCATCAGCACGGCATTCTCTTTCTTTCACGAGCAAATTCTACTTTACATATATTTTCAGAATGATAGTCTTTGAAGCGAACATTGGTTTCATTTTACACTCTACACACTTGTGGTATAGAGCGCTGTTAATTTCGTGCGAATGCATACAATACCCGGAAGAACTTGAGATAGACGCATCTTTTATTGTATCTAACCTTGCCTGTTCGTCAGTTTTGTTGTGTTAACCCTACCGCCGCCACCGATGTGATTCAACCCCACTACGAAAGCTTACAATGTCGTCGTTGAAAAGTCCTTATGTGGGTAACAGTAGTGTGTAAGAGTCGTTGCATAGCATAGTGTTTTGTGTGCTTGTTTATTTTTAGACGACCTTAACAACACCTGCGTAATGCATTTACTATTCTGTTAAGAAAAATCAAAGCAATCCTTGGTATTTGATTTTATTGTCATTTTTTCATAAAAAATGATTTCAATTTTTACTAATAAATGTGTCCAAAACACCAAGTTTGCCTGCTCTTTTTTTTCAAATTTTCCTTCCATACTCTTAAAAAATCTTTCTTGTTTACAATGTCATCCATAAACACCAATTTTCCGACTACATTGACCCAATGAATACCAACTATAGCAAGACCACTGTCACGCTCCCCGTAAGCCGTTGGTAGAAGGACGTAATAGGTAGCTAAAAGAGTAAAAACACGTTTCTAAGTTCACTTTTTCAGTTGTATATCCTGATGAGAGCTAATGTAACGCTATTCCACTGAGAATTGGGCGTGATCCCTGGCAAATTCTAGTTCTAATTAAAAAATTTGACTCATGTTTATGTTAAAGTAACCAGAGATATAAGGGACGCTATTATCACTAACACTAACACTTTAAAATAAACTCTATTTTAATCAAATCGATGGTACTCGCAACTCAAATGCTTTGCATATTGTTGACGTTGATTAGGCTTTCATCACTATTTGTTAGTCGCTCGAAAAGTTGTTCCAGCTGGTATTTTGATTGATTTCTGTTTTTTGCTAAGTTCAATCTCATGTCAAAGATGGTCCTGGCATTTTTCAGATGGCTTAGCATTGCTCCTTTATAAGCTGGGTAAGAGGTTACAATCGAAAGAGCAAATCTTGTGTATCCTTCTACATTCTTATTCATTTTTTTAAACGTGAAAGGCAGGTTAAATAACAGCGCTAGTTATGATTATTACAGAGTAATTTAAGGAATATTAAGAAAAAAAAGCGTGTACACATCCAGCACAGAATCACTCTTGCAGCCGTTGTGAATCTAAATCCTTTGACATTGCAAATATAGAAAAACTCAACAACCAATAATAGCGAAATTAAGTTCAATTTTCGAATCATACCATTAGAGGTTGACAGATTGTGCACAGATTGGAAGAGATTGGAGTGGGATTTTCAAGCATAGGAAGGAAACAGTTTAACTTCGACAGCGTATATGACTCGGCCGAAGGGAGACCGTTGATATGTAGGATAAATAGAGCGGATCGTCAATGGCTGCTTTGAAGGACATCTGACGTCGAGGGGAATTCATAGGGAATGATGAAGATAAAGGCTTATCCATTTCACTAAGTAGAAAGTGAACCCAGAGGCTCGGAACTTGAAGATCAATAAGTTGGTTAATTGAATCAAATGTTTTACTAATGTCAGTACATACGACATCTGTGCGAGAGGTACTAGAAAAAGCCTTGGAAACATAAAAAGTATACCTTAAGAGATTCGCAATAGTGGGTCTTCCTTTTCATAAGCTGTGCTGGGATGGGGAACTATAAGGTTCGATAGTAAAAGCTAACTACTGAGCAACAGTTTGTTCGAATAATTTAGGTAAAACACTTAACTTGTCAATGCCTCGATAGATTTCGACAAGATGTCTCTATCCACACTTTTGAAGTGGAATGAGAAAGCTACTCTTCTTTTCAGAGAATGATAGAAAATGTTTGAGGATACATCACACAACTCATCAGGGCGTGATTTGAGCATACGTGATAGAATATCGTCAGGTCCAGTAGCGCAGCTATGTTTTGAATCGACCGAATTCTGAATTGAAATCGAGTTTGCAATTTGGTATGGGTATTTATCACTTAAGACGAAATCAGCGGTAAAAAAACTTCGCCGGAAGCGTTCAGCAAAGATATTCGTGATTTCAATATCTTAAAAGCTTCCTTGCCAAACTTATAGAAATATTAAACATTAATCAGATATGCGGATTTTATCATTTGATGGTATCTGCAATAACTTTTGCGGTTTAGATAATTAAGTCGATGCATTGCAGTAGAGAAAATGAAGTAGTCCTACGTAGATCCGCTTTTCATGTATTGTCGGAAAAGTTTTTTTCCCCTATTTTGTAATAGTTATTATATAGCCATTTAGGTATACTATAATAATAAACGGCATTTTTGATCTATATTTAATGGTTTTATATATCTCTATATTACAAATTTTGCAAAACAAAACCTTCCGATTAAGTTATAGATTTACATTTGTATAACATTCAAAGAAAATATATTAAAACGTTAGTAGCTATACTAAAAGGGAAACTAAGACCGAAATACAATACGAGTACTTAAAAATGTTGAAACCGGTTGGAGATAATACGTAAGACAGATAGTAAGCTACTGTGTTAAATAACTTAAACTAACTAATTATAAAACATGAAAAATAAGAAAAATCAACGAAACAAATACCAAGGGAAGCGTACGCATGGAGAATTGCAAGCAATGGAGGAAAACAATATTTTACAAATTACTTAAACAATTTCACTCATCGTTACAATTTCGTTGCAAAATAAATATTCTAAAAAAGAGAAAAAGAAAGAAGTTTGTACATAAATTTTCTTTACATTTTTGGAATAACGTGCGCTTAACTGTGGGTATACGCCTGTAATTAGTTATGCAAATAAGCATGTTTTTTTCTAAACTGCTGTGTCATTAGTAAAACGTAAAGATTTTCGAGGCATTGGTTTGGGGGCTATTTGAGGTTTAGCTCTTGAAGTTATTGGCTTTGGTTGTCTGTTATTGATCCCATTTGTTTTCTGTTCTTGTTCCTGATATTCTACGTAACCAGACTCATCACTGCACTCGGAATCTGAATCGTTGGTCACGTTTTCCTTATACTCTAGACGGACTGTTTTAAAGTGACTGGAAATTTCAGTTTTACTACTGTCTGCTTCAGTTTTTTCGTGATTGTTGAGGGAATCTTTCACTTTTAAAGTAATCATATTAGAATTGGTGCAAATAATCGTCTCCTTCTTTAATTCTTTGCCATTTATTTTCAGCATGACTGATGGGTGTGTCATGAAGATTGGTTTCTCGTCAACTTGTTGCGAGCTTGGGAATTGATATTTAGAAGATACATCGTCGCGATGATTGGTTACGGTGCTAGATGTTTCACATCCACTCGATATCGAACCGTCATCCGCGCTATCGTTATTAATTTGATCGCGAGGTGTCGGTATGGGAAGGCTAACAGAAGAGCTCTCCGACGATATAGATGATTGTGCCTGGTGATGAGCCGACAGAAATCTTGCTTCGAAATTTCCACTAACACTAGTCTCTAAGCTGCTGCTGCCTTCATCACTACTTAATGATAAATGGGCCATCTTGCGCATGGAGTGACGGTGCAACATATTAAGTATGGCAGCCTGGTGAAAATATAAATCATTCTCATCATCATCGCCATCATCAACCAAGTATTCACCTTCTCCATCACTGCATATACCCGAACGCCTTAAAGTAATCATTGCAAGACTTGAGGTTTGGGAATTTTCATTATCCTCAGCAAACTTCTCGTGTGGATCAAAGTCAGCCTCAGGATGAGCGCCAGGGTCACTATTAATAGTAGGCAACAAACTTAAGGACTCTTCTTCGTCTTCAACATCCTTCAAATCGGTTAAACTGCTACAACTGCTGCTCGTTTGTTTATGTAATTCGCGTTCAAAATAGGGCAACAATTCCTTAGCTAAGGAAGCATTTGCATCATAGTCATTGTGTTTTAAAATCTTATCAAAATCATCTGAATCGTCGGACCCATAATTCACTGCACATAGTTCCTCGTCTTTTGCTTCGGACTTTTTGTTGTCCTTCATGCTATGTTTCTGATCAATTTTGGTTTGATGTTCAAAGAATAATGGCTCTCGACATGTTCTGTTCAAAACACTGCAGCTTAACGGCCTGGTTTTACCAGTACATAAGGGCTCTTCAAAATTTTTATTCAGCACATCGAAACTCAGGGGCCTAGTTTTGCCTGTGCGACGTATGGAGTGGCCCCGGCGGCAGCGTCGTCGTCCAAGGGTCATGGCTGGGTAAAACGAATCTTTTTGGCAACAAGATTTCATTTCTGGCTCGTTAGTCTCTTCAACTTCTTCGCCTTCTTCGCCGATAGCTTCTTCTATAGCCATTAGTTTTGGCGCTGATTTTGAACGCTCCAATGGCGGACGATAGTTATTACTGCCCACACTGAGTAAAATCTTCCGACGTGGTAAACTGGGATTATCATAGACTGCATTGGCTAGACTTAAACGAGCGTTCTGTTTGAGAATTTTTTCTCGTTTAAATTCACGCAGAGCGCGTTCAAGATTACCCTGAAACCAGTTGAGAGGTTTATTAACCAATATCTTCATGGGGAAGTTTTTCTTACCTTTAATGTATCACATATCTCATGTACAATTTTCTCCTTACTACAAAGCACTGCGTGACATCTAAGTTCATGCTTAAGTTTCCGCCCCTCATGACGATAAATCCAGCAAAACACCCGCGGATAATTCTTTGGAGCGCAACAATGTGTTATACGATTAGCCCAATATTCCGTTAGTCCATGTTGTCTCGTTGTTGCTTTAAGACCTGAAGCACAAACCTTTATCCTCATTATTACATCAGGCTTGTTATTTTGGGTATAATTTCGCCACAGTGTGTTCAGTTGCTTTTCAACGCAACCCTCACCTAAAAAAGTCAGAATCGCTTATATTATTGTAATCTTTATTGTAATATTGCTAAAATGTCCGAAGGGTATATATTCTCGGATTAAAATGATATGAGTACTAAGACTTTTGGCTCTATTTAAAAAAAAGATATAGATGGTTATGGGATTTAAGGACGTTTCCCGTCTGGCGATTAAGGCTAATTCGCAAGATGCTATGCTAGTTCGGGAAGTGGTGGTGATATATCGTTCGCTGATAAAAAGAAAGTTTATTCAGTAATCACTGTAACAATCCCCGACCATAAATACCCCAGACCATAAATTAATAATTCATTCAAATATATTTCAATATTTTATTGATATTATATTCTGTAGATTACTTCATACTGAAAACCTTTCAGGTTATACCTGACCTTATAACCTTATAGGTTATAATTTTTTTAACCTACCTTTGGCCCAACCCGTTAAAACGTTGCCCAGATATGAGACTTTATATTCGGGATCTGGTGAACTAATGTCGACACTATGCGTACGTCGCCATAATAATTTGCCCAAGCCGCGGGATAAAGAACGTATAGCTTTAATACGCAAATCGTTGTCATGGTTCTCCTGAAAATTTTGCAAAGCTAAGGAACTCGAATGACCAGACACCTCTTGGCTTTGTTGGCCAACTGCGAAATTAGTACACTGATAGTCAAAGTCTTTAGTTACATGTTTAATTTCTACAGGTATGGAGGCTGGATCACCCTCTTCTTTGGTATAACGTTTAAATCGCTCCAAATGTGGACTGGTTGACTTGCGGCGTCCACTATAAGTGTTGAATTTATATTCACTTAGGGATTTCGATTTATATTCGCTTTCCGTTTTCTTATTCAATAGCTTGGACAAGGGTGAGGGTTTTGTGTGCTTTTGCTGCTTGGAGGATGTGTCCATAGTTTTGATGGAATTACGATATTCTGAAAATCCATTGCGTGAAAATGACGGATTAGATTTGTCTATTTCTTCATCGTTACGATTCGTTTTTTCCCCCGCTTTACCTTTCTTGCATTTCAATTCTTCTTTAGCGTTAATTTCCTCAGTTGATTTTTGTAATAATTTTCTGCCAAAACTAAAAATTGTTAATTTATCCTTTGATAATTTCTTGTCGTTGCTACCATTGTTGTTGTTATTATTAATTACATTTGGCACATTTTCATTGAACGAAGTTTTTGGCACTTTATTATGTTTAAATTGTTGACTTGAATTGTTTTTATAATTGTCGTTATTATTGTTGTTTATTTGATTAGAGACTTTAACAAAATCAACTTCATCGAGTAGCATTTCATTCCCAGTCACACTATTGGCAGCCATTTTCTCTTTTTTAATTATGAAAATTATTTATATTTACAGACCACTTTGGAACAAGACTCAAATTAATTCTGATATTAACTTTCTCCTCAAATCTCTTATCGTAAACCTCTACTTTGAAAACGAAGGCGAAGCAGTTATAGAAACATTGTCTAGAAAAAAAATTTAAAGAAAGAAAATCAATTAAGTGAAAATTCTTTACATATATACTTAGAAGTATTATACAAGAGTCTGCCAAATAAGGTCAATTTTTCATTCGTTTGACCTATTCATGCTGTGTAAAGCAATTATATAAATTAAGCGCAATTCATCGGTTTCATTGTTTGTTGCCTTGTAACTTTAGTTTTGAAAAAAAGTCCCCTCTTCGGAAAATATATTCATTACTCCCGAATATCCTTAGAAGACAAAGATATGATGAGATACGCCGGTAGAATACGATGAACTAACTGAACATGGCGAAAGGAAGAAGTAGCGCGGTAACCGTTTTTTAACAATCCCATTAATATGGGAATCGAATAATTGAGCTTGGAGACTGGGACGCTATTTATAGTAAACTAAGAAGTAAAGAATGTGTTTTATATTGTTATTATTTTTTTTAATAAACTTTCGTTACAACGAACTAAATAGTGTTTTGTTTGGAATCACGTTCACGTGGCAAAACATGAAACCTTGGAGTATTTGAAAAAACCGAATTTCCTACACTTTAAAATCGTACACTACTTGTGCTTTTATGGTGAGTTTCTTTCTTATCTATCTGATTATAAGTATTTGGTTTAACAAGAAAGCGGTTACGTCAACTAAAAATTCCCGGCCGTGGGACAGAAAACTATTTTTCTTTCCATATTCGAATTTCTTCGTCTCGATAGTCTCCACCAATCCAAAGCTTCTCTCCTTTCGATGTTTTTTTTATAAAACGATATATTCAGATATTTGATATCTTTAGTATATCTGCTTTGACTTGCAAGTTAATTTTTCGTTTATAGAGAATCACCTCTTTTAGGCGTGCACACGGACGGCATCATACGCGTACGACCTCCTCTAAAACCATTAAATCATCGACAAATATTGCGCTCGAGAATTACCATTTTGAGTTTAAACGATCGTTTTTCTCTCCAAGAGTAATGTTTAATCAATAAACGAAATTTAGAATTTTTTATTGTTTCGGAAATCAGAAAAGTGTTGTTACTGAAACCACTACAATTCGTGAAATGTGTCGTTTGACAGTTCTTATTTTCTGAAGATAATGTGTATTTTTTGTTAGAGATGACATCTATATGCAAGCCCCGGAAATTGTGACGAGAAGTCTTACGGTTTGTAAAAAATATAATACTTTCTAGCACTTTCTATATTATATGGGATTTGATTGGAAAATTTGGTGGTTATCCATTCACTCAATTTAGAGATCAATTCTCCTCTTGTATATATCACATACTTCTTTATTTAAAATTAAAATTTTATATAACATTGAAGGACCTTATACGAAATTGAGTGAAATAACTTGTATGGTCTTTCAGTGTATGCGCGAAAGTAGAAAGAGTTTCTCCCGTAAACGTCAAGCAAATTTTTTCTGAGTGTGAGGATTGATACCTAAATACTTACTAATAATATTTTACGGCAGAGCTTTTGATTTTGAATCATAAGTAGAAATTCAAAAATTTAATTTTCCTTTTCCAGATTGGTGAACAATATTTTTGATTGGTTCCATCGTTAATTCTTTTGAAACTTATTGCCACGTTTTTTGGGGGTCCTAACCCGTTTATTATAAATTTTGCAAATTTACAAAGCAAATTTCCGTAATTTGAAACAGCGTAAATTGAGACCTGGACCTATTTCTTTCTTTTCTTTATGGCGGCAACATTATAAATAAGTACATTTATATTGATACTTTGTATAGAATAGAGTTTTAAGCGTACATATTTGTTATTCAAGATCAACTACTCATGACATCGGCAAGCAGTTTTCATTGTTTTAATTGTTACTCTCCACATATGAGTTTATAATTTGTAAATCAGTATAAATTTCACATTGCAGCATTGTTATCGCTAACTTTGTAAATTAATTAATTAATTTAATTTCATTTTTAGCTTTTATCTTAAACTCTAAAACCATTTCGTAGGGGATACTCTACATTACTCATTGATGGGAATTGACACTTTCGATGAATTGTGTACATGTTAACTTAGCAGTCCAGTGCATTAAATGTTCCCATCATTTTTAGGATGCCATCGTTCCTTTCTTTTTTTTAAATTTAGTTAATAAATTAATTCTTAAAAAAAACTGCGTGTTATTTAGAGTTTCATTACAATTTGTGAACTGACTAATTAGCAGGCTTTTTTACGTCCAACCAAGTTTTAAAGTTAAACAGAGTGCAGGCATAAAACAACAACAACGACAAAACAAGCCAAAACATTAGTTATCTGTCAAACATCATCAAAAAGTAAAGTAAAAATGTTCGACGAGATTTCGTTAAGTTTGCCCGAACGTACTTCTCTTCTTCTACTTCTCTTTTTCTGGTTTCAGTGAGTGATAAATTTTGCGTTTCCATCTTAATGGAATAAAAAAAACCCAAAAGCGATTAAAAACGCGTAACAAAATTAAAAATCAAAGAAATAGCGCAATAAAAGTGTAAATCATTCTAGCTAATCAGTCCTAGATTTGAACAGACTATCGTTTACGTAGTAGAAACCTAGCATTCTACGATAAGATAATAGTTAGAACATTTAAGTAAAATTTCATTTCTATATAATGTATTGCCCATAATTTTTTATTTTATCTTATATGGGTGGGTTGGACCGTTAAATTTGTTTATCATTTATTAATTATAATAAAACATGAGCTATTTATGATTAACATTAAGCAAATTCGTTTTTGAGTCCATAAGTCCTGAATTCGTCGAAAAATACATTTGAGCATCATCGGCATTATAAATAAATGTGACTGTTGTGGCAGCAAGCAAACTAAGTCAGTTAAAAAGGTAGTAAATAAAGTACTCTCCATGAATATCCTCCAGAAGCTTCAGCATATGACAGCTATGTCCAAATTTACAACCAGACTGATCGGCACAAAGTAAATTCTACGTCTTCGCCTCACCTAATCAGTTATTAACTGTTCAAATACCTTCGATAACGCAGCGGTAGTACTTATTGGACGGAAGACTTCAAGAAAACAGACGATGGTTTTTTCCTAATAGTTGTAATTATCGCGATTTTCCAATAATAACTTTACGAACAAGTTGTAATGATATGATTTAGAAAACGAGTCAACGGTAGAATGATATTAGGAAGAATAAACTTAACAAATTTGTTTCATTCATGCTGTCATTACCGATAGCATTTAATTTAATATAATGTGTCGTCCGCCATACTTTATCACGAATTAATGCCCTAAATTGAAAGTTATTACCTTACCGATTCAATACTTCTTCATTCACAAGCGCGATTACAAAGAATCCGATTAGATCTCAAAAAACACTGATTTAATCTACTCCTTAAAGACTCCTTCTAACTCCAATCTTCTGTAAAATTTTAAAAGGAGGGAAGATCGGCATTAAATTTCTTGCAATAGTAAAGACGTTTCATATGTTGGGTATTATTATGCCCTCTATTTCTAGGCATCCGGAAAGCTTCGCGATTACTTGCATTATGGAAACACGGTACGAAGACTAATAGTTCTTTTAACTTCAGAGAAGAGCCATGGCAGTGTAAAGGGCCTAACCTTCTAAATCTTCATAGGAATATGATCATAAAATAACAAAGATAAATGATGCGCTAAATGAGACAATTTTTAGTTGACATCGGCAAAGTTCCAATTGCAATGTTTGCCGTGCAAACATCCATGGATTAATATCAATATCGAACTCGATAAAAATGATCACGCCGGCAGTTACTACTGCCTCGATATCTTGTTTAAACTAATTTTTATTCTTTAATGCTTCACACGATTCGCTGGTAAAGGTACGTTGTCAAACTTTTTCCCAATTTGTGTCAGTGGCACGCTCCTAACTTGTACCCATATCGGCTGTGAACGTGCCTTTGTATTCTCTTTTGTTAGTTTTTTTATTTATTCATATGTTTCCATATAAGGACTTCGTTCCTTTTGCTTTCTTTTTTTATTTTATAAGTTTTGTTAACTCTCCACGTTTTTGATCACTGACATCTGCTGGTGAAAATGATTAAGTAATACGAAATATTAATGTACACATAGTTCAAATTCGATGATTTCGACCTTTCTCTACATAAAATAACTCTAGTATTACTAAGTTATTCAGTGTACACAGGCGCTTATCATGGATTACTCAAAATTGCATTTACCACCTTCATTACATTTGTCGTTTGATTTGAGAAAATCTGCTGCCGAAGTCCATGAAACACTTATATGGCGATACTGCTCCATTATATCCTAATCGTCGGCTTTGGTTTCCACGGTTTAAAAGTGGTAGTAGTGGACAAAAACTCAGCAGCTCTCAAGGAACTTTTGAGCAGCTTAACAGTTGATGAATCGACTGTTCCTTGACATTTACATAAGTTGGGAAGAACACAAAGAAGGGAAAATTGCTATCGGACGAATTGACTGAAAATGCCACTTCGAATCCTTTCAACATTGCGAGATCAATGCTTGCCAGCCAAAAAAAGGAATAGTTTTCTGTGGTGTTAGTGAAATTTTTTTATCGGACGATACGGAATCAGACTTGAAAATTGCTAATTATAAGTGGGTTGTTAAATGTCCTCCTGATGGTGATGGCGGTATCGTCATTCTCGTCAAAAAAGATATCAACTTCATACAAATTCTGCACAAATAGTTAGCGTATATAGTTGTAATAAAAACAATCAGTCCCAGGCCCAACATTGTGGTTCAATACTTTGAAGATGATGAGAAAGACTTTCTATTTTTTTCGATGGTTTTTATAATGACGTTCTGGCTGGTAATTTTAACTCAAGACACAACAATTTTGGTGATCCTGTGTCGAGCAACAGGAGAAAGGCCCCTTTTGAAACTATACACTTCTTTCAATTCTTTTAATAAATGGTCTCTAAGCTTTTTACATGCTGATGGTGGTGCGGGCATTGGTAGTTCATTCGATCGGACTTTTTCAAATTCTACTTACTTAATTTCTCAATGGTAAGTTGCGAAGGATGTTTACCTAGGCAACAGT